AGATTTCCCCAATAGAAAATACATCTAAATTATAGCTCATTTTATTTTCTCACGTGTAAGTTCTACTCGAAAAGATGAGTAATATAGTAGAGAGAGAGTATGTGCAATGAAGTGCTTAGTTTAGTGGTGGTGTTAACTGGCATACCCTTTGTTCTACAATATTATTTTTTATTGTGTATTTCTTAGTGAAATTATATAGTTCTATTTCACAGTGCAAAATATTTTGTATTGTATTACCAACTTTCTATATAAGTAATTACGAATGTAATTACCATAAAAGATGCAAGAGTATATTGATTTTCTGTTGTTATTGCAATTCCTTTCCATATTTTTAGGTTCTGGTTGTGTTTGGTTGGATTGTTGCTATAACTTGTAACATGGCCATTGTGTTTGGACTATATCAATGGAACAGCAATAACAGTTTGCCGAACAAGGTTACTGCAACTGTTTACGCTGCATTCAGTCGTATAGGTTGGTCTCTGGGTTTGGCCTGGCTAACAATCGCCTGTCTATATGGATATGGGGGTTTGTATATTTTGTTTTTAACAATTTATGTATAATATTACCTAGAAAAGTACATTTGCTTCTTGTGTGAGATAACTTTGACAACATTTTTCAGATTATTTGCAGTTTATCAGCTTAATTCTTATTTGGTTTCATCTTCAAGTCAAATGTTTATTTCTATGGTCACTTTTTGATTAGTTCTTCAGAAAATTAAGTGTATTTTATAAGAAAGATTTGCATATGTGAATGTGATTTGTTGTTGCAGAATTCCAGTCGTGACGTCAATGCCGTTATGGCTAGACATATGACTGGGAAAAAGAATACAACATTTCGCAAAATGGAGGCTTTGGTGATCACCATAGAAGTGTACAAACACGCAATACAGAGCGTCAAGGACAGCAGTTGGCTTTTAAACCGCACCCCAAGCCAGTCCAGAGCAACATCCTCCGCAAAATGAAGGCTATGGTTTAGAACGGGAACCCACTGACCCTAAAAAACATTGCAGTGAAGCTGGGCATATTTCAGAGTAGCGTTAATAATATAATAAATAAGGATATGGAGTCAATGAAGGCTTAAAAGTCCTAGTCCCACTTTTGTAATTTTTAATTGTTACCATGTAGAAAAAACAATCGAAGAAACTTGTATTACAACAATTCCATTCAACCACATAGTTTACAAATTCCCTGACGAAGATCCAACATACTTTTTGTGCCTTTGGTTTGCTTAAATATAGAATTGCATTTAGTGTTTTTAGTCTGAACGCCACCTTATGTGGAATGTGTCAGATCAGAGACAACAAGGTTCAGTCATAGCCATCTCCGATTTAGAACTGCTGTCCACAAGGAGGACATCCATGCAGTCAGCAGCACCTGTCACTTATACGGCTACTTTTAACCAAATAGTGGAATTGATTGTCACACTTACAACTCCTTATTTACGAAAAAGAGAGGGGTATACTCAATTACATAACGAGGCTCGATCATAGGACCTTTTTAACTATTTGCCCTCTTCTGTTCTTGAACATTAGATGCCCAGCTCATGGTTTTGGAATCAGACGTCCGTGTACAGTGGAGGGTCTATGGTAAGTTTTTCAGGATATATGATCTAATATTGATAAAAATTGGAATTGTAGGTCAGCCAATAATTCGTAATCACTGCCATCAGTCTGAGAAAAATGGACGACGATGAAGTATTTCCGATTGCAAAATGAAACCTGGAACACTCTCTATAAACATGCGATTAACCCTCAGTATAAGTTTACTAACGACTGCAAATCACTGCTTAAACTTTTTTTAAGTGAAGACATCTTACTTATCTAGCTAAGACGGTCAATCTCTTGTGCCCACATTTATGTTTCTTGTAACTGGAAAGTTGAAATAACTCTAGAAGGGCTTTCCATTTCAGTGAAAGTATAATGGTTTTATTAGAGTAGTTCGAATTATTTCCTTATCTGTGTACATCATACATCAACAAAAAATATTGCCCAACTCAGTTATGTCTAAGAAAGGAATCTGTCTGAATCAATGAAAACGGAACTGGTGGGATTCCAACTCGTAACATTTTCAGTACAGGTTTAGGTTTAACTTCTTTAGAAAATTTTCTGACGTTATAGGACATTCTTAATATTTTTATAATTATATCTTATATCGGTAAACAATGTACTCGGTATATTTAGTCCAGGAAGTGACGTAAACTAATAGTTTCATGAAGTCTTTTTAAATTTAGGAATCATCAACAGCTTTCTGAGCTGGAAGGGTTTTACTCCTTTAAGTCGGATGACATACGTTGTGTACATAATTCAACCAGCGTGGATTGGTGTCTTCCGCAGTCACCTCAGGAGTACTTTGTATTACAGCAATATTTTTGTAGTAAGTGCAGTGCGTTTCTTTGATATGCAACTGAATTCGAGCCTTTTCATTTAAATAAAAAAATTGGTATAAGTACCTTTGTTTAAATTGTATACAAATACTGTGTTACTGAAGAACAGCTTGCTTTCAATCGTATTGATTAAAACTATTGTACTCGACCAGTACTTTTTCGTGGAAATATTTACACATACCAAAACAACTTACAATTAGTATTCCTCTTTAGTGGAAAATTAGGTATCCCTTATAGAATTATGGAAATGTTTAAATTAAAGAGATATTATGTTACTAACTAAATAAACCAAAATCATTTCTGTCCAAAGGGTTTTCAGAAGGTTTTTATGTAATATAATATTTCATTATTATTATTATACTGAATCTAAAATTAGGTTAATATAATAAGAAAGTTATTTACATATGAGCAGGCTGTTATGTTAAGAAACATATAAATTAGTTAAAATCGAGATAATATGTATAAGAGTTTATTTTTTTCCTGTTAGACCTACATTTTTATCGCTTACGTCACGATTTCGTACATCATGGGTTTTTTGGTTGTGCTAATCTACCAGACACCATTTTTGAACCTGGAAAAGCTCGTACTTAGCAGAACTACTAATGAAAAACAGGACTCGGTGGAAGAAGAAAAACACATCGGTACACAAACCTCAGCTTAACCAAAGAAACTCAAACAATATCATAAATGAAGGGTTGTCGATATAGTTATAACAGTGAAAAATGGATCTTTAATCCTAGAATGCCAGCGTTAAACTATCAATCATTAACACCAGGTAGTATGCGGTCATAGTGACCCCACGCTTGCGTTCTAGAGTTAAGGATGAAACATGTAGCTGTTTAAAAATATTCTCCAACTCACAACATGAAATCCTGTCTTCTATAACTAATTTGGTGTGTATGTTATGTTTACAGTTAATATTTGCAACTATAAATAGTGTTCATTAAAATATTTTAATTATATCACTCGAGTGACATCTAGCGTGGGAATCTTAAAGATGATTTCTCGACCTTAACCTTTTAGGTTGTTGCAATTATGGAGTTTTGTAAATAATATGGTGAACAACGAAAAAGTATTACTAAAGTGGTGAAAATGACCATATAGACCATAAGCTTTATAAAAACTAATGTAACTTGTTAAGTATTACGTCTGAGGAAGAGCAGTTGCATGAAATGTCGCATTGTGTCATTAGAACCCCATTTATGATTACCATAGACCTTCCAGCGTCAAACAGATTTTATTGTTATTTAGCGTCAGAACTCGAGTGTGAGTTGTGATTGTAGTAACGAATTCTTAGGGTAGGCCATGTGGTTTGTGCGTCGGATAAGAATATCAGACTATGATATTGAAACAAACAATGTTAAGACACAGGTTAAATTGAAATAAAAAAAATCAATGTCGAACGTGAAAACACGGTCTTGTTGGAGAATAATAAAAACGTGTTAGACATGAATGTCTAAAAACGCTAAAATCTAAGGTTCGATTCCCCGCGGTGGACACAGCAGATAACTCAATGTGGGTTTGTAATAAAGCAAACAAACATAAATATTTATGTCAGAATCATCAACAGATTATATTAATTTTGAGAAGTTTTAATACTGGGAAGTCTCTCTTCATTGTGAACATATTTAGTAATATTCGTAAGTAAATTAATTCAGTAAAAAACATCAAAAACAGTTGTTATAATGCAGCTTTATGCAACAGATAAGTATCATATGTAAACTTGTTCATTACTAACACCAGAAAACGAACCAATATAAATAATTCAATGTCCTATTCATATACCATCAAAATGCGCCATTTTCACTGAAAAGTAAAACATTTGCCCAAGGTAACATGTACCTACCACTCCCCGGTATGGATTCACTGCTTTTTTTCTTTTTCTTCCGAAAATAGCCAGATGTATAAGTTTTTGACAACGCTACTGTAATTAAGGTTTACTTTTACGTATCGCCAACTGTGAAGTGATCAAGCTGTAGTTAGTATTATAGTTTGATAGCCTATGTGATCACTTAATTAGTTCTTAGTATAGTATTAACTATTCATGGTTTAATCATATATATATTATTATTGTTATATTTAACTAACTTTAGGCCTAATACCCTTTTTAGCGTTGAAGGCCTCATTTTCTTCAAAAACACAGATTATTGTACTGATTATAGTAGTATTGTTCCCACCACTTGTTCCCCAAACTTTCAAGATTATCCAAATTAGATAAGACCAAGATAAAAAACAATCACAACAAATTTTCGTAAATTTTCCCACAAATGGCCTAGAAACGTTTTCGTAACCGTCCTGAATTTAAAACGGTTTTCCACGTTTACATTGTATAAAAAAATAAAATCTATGTGAACAACCTTTTACAATATTTTTTCAGGGCTTCATTGATTGTTTGTGTAAAGTTAAGTACAAAGCTACGTAATGGGCTATCTGTGCTCTGCTTACCACGGGTATGAAACCCGGTTTTTAGTGTTGTAAGTCCGTAGGCATCCCGGTGTACCACTAGGGGCAGACTTCATTGATAAAAAAAAAAGTACACACTTATACTTTAAATGTCTTCAGTTTACAGCACAAGCAAATATATTTCCCGAAAGTTTACATATACGATACATGTATATATAACTGTAGGTGGTAATGGTCGTAAATTTTTAGATTTTTAAATCGTTTTTCAGGCCTCTGGACGGGTGAAACATTTCCGGGAAAATGGTCGCCCTGTAAAAACATGTTTCAAAGCCAATGGACACGTATCATAAGTAAATTTGTTCAATTAAAGTAAAAAAAAATAACAACCAAAATAAGAAGAACCAATGTCGTTCTGAGTTAAAATTGTCATAGTACGTTATATTTGAATTGACGAATCAGAGACAGGCAAAAGTGTCATTACCTGCTTGTTTAGTAGTAGGCGTACTCTGCTTTTTGCTCAAACTCAGTTTACCCCTACTATGTTCCCCTCTTTCCATAGTTAATAGAGGAAAGTATAGTGTTAAATTACTGGTTTGTAATGTAAAACAACTGGTGATTTAAAAAATATTCTGCTTCTGGTGAACGAACTCTTGTTAGGTTCAAGAATCTCTGGCCATCGTTACCTACAAACCAGAATTGAACTTAATGGAAAGTTCCATTAATCTTTTCCTCAGAATTTAATAATTATTAAATCGGTCTGCTCCTTGTTTATTTGTTTTGATACGTGTACTTCTTATGACGACTTTTTGATAAAGTTTGTTTGTTTGTTTGAAATTAAGCACAAAGCTACGCAATGGGCTATCAGTGCTCTGCCCACCACGGCCTGTGATTAACTATTCGTTTTCCATATTTTACTTGTTTAAATGTTGTTATTGTTTGTTAATGAATTAATACTAACTTCGGATCAGAGCAAGTTATCTACTTAGAGCGAAACTAAAAATCAACCTCGTGGTGAGTATAGCTAACTATATATACTTTTCTTACGTTCTTACTTATGAAGATTAGGATGCATTGTTTCATCATTTAGGTTCCCTCACTGTTAATAATATTTTTTGCTGTTAACCCAATAATAACTTTCGAGGTTCGGCCAACTTAGGATATTTAGGCTAGTCCCAAATGTGTATATGAAGCTAACAATGCAAAACAATATCTATAATAAAAGTATAACACTAAAAAGTAAAATAAGAAATTAATAAAATTACATACATTAAACATTCAACCAATGTTGTTAATGAAATTAACAATGAAAATATAATAGAGTAAACCTTACGTACAGAATACACAAACGATAGCTGTTGGCTTCAAGTCTGCCGAAGATTTAGTGTGTTCCTTAAACAACGTACCATCAATATATATTCGTGTATAAGTAAAGCAACACTTTACACACTCCTCCCTAACAACGTCTTGTTTCCAATGTAAACCCATTAAACTGCTCCAACAGTGTATATCCAGAGGAGCGTGGCATCTGAGATAAAATATTACGACACATGTTACTATTAAGGTGTGGAGTCAAGAAGTAGCCGGAAATTATCAAGAGTGCAGCCAGAAACCATGTTTATAAAAGTGCAAAGTAATAAACAATAAATTAAATTAATATATGAGTGGTATAATAAATTGTTAGAATATTGTTTCTGTAGTGAATAGATAACAACGTAAAATGTAATACAAAGAAAACAATATGTTAAACATATTACGAGATGTGTCTAACACAACTACTCCCAATTTAACTAACCTCTGTCAGTTGGTGGACAATTCAGTATTTTGTGTTCATTTTTATTATTAGAGTAATGTTTCCTAAAGATATTTCTATTATTGTTTCTATTCAACAATGTTATGGTAATATTGGCCTCAAAGTTTTTGGAAAACGTGAAAAAAAATTCTTTAAAATATCACGAGTATTCATTGAATTACATTTTTCTTAAGACTTGTCAGTTGGTGTTATCAAATCTGTTACTTGCTGTAACATTTTTATGTATTTACATATATGTTTATTTTCACTTTTTATTGTTATTAGTACTTATTTTCTTATCCAGGGGATACGCTTTGCGTAAGCAAACTATTTTTATTTTATTTTTTATTTTTTGCTCTTTTGTGCCTTTTTTTTCATATATTATATTGATTGTAGCTAAAGAAAGTTACTACTTATTTAGATCACATTTTATTACTTAAAATGTGAATAAGATTGAATTGGATTGCGCTTGTCAAACTTAAAATATCTTACAAGTTTATAAGAATTAAACATGTAAATAAACAATTGTATGCCAGTAACATTTCCAAAAAAACGCTCAACTTGTCATTCTTCAGGCTAAAATACAAAACAAATTTTAAAAAATGTTAAACTTTAAAATGAGCCACAAATTTGTTTTAATGGCTGTTAAAACACCAGCTCATACACACTTTTTAAGTTTTCTTGAAATGCAAAGCAATGAAAATTAAACACCTCAAAAAATACATTTTTGTTTTTTGAAAACTCAACAACAGAGGTAGTTTCTCTCATCATTATAACAGCATTATCACAAATCTGACGGATTGCCAGCCAAGTGGCAATGAAAATAGAGTCCTAAGTAAAGGTTTATCCTTTGCGTTTCCACCCGCTGAGCTGAATTAGTAAATTTTATGTTGTTGTTTTTCAACACTCTGCTTCATGAATTAAAAGGTGAACCTGTCTGTGCTAGAAATGAGCTAATATTTGATAACATTAGAGTGCACATAGATAGCCTTGCACTTGATATATTTCGTAAAAAACATCTTTATGAAATGTCATCTCTCTATCGTTTGCATTTCTTAAAACATAGATATCACTAAGTCTGATAAAGGAAATGGAGTATTCATACTTAATAAAGTTGTTGATATTAACAAATTTGAAAATATTTTCAAGATCAAACTAAATTTTAAAAATTCCTTCAATATCCCAAGTTTTTTCGTTTCACTAAAATTCCTCTCACAAACTTATTATATCGTGATTAGAACATGTTCAGAAGTATTCTAAAACTTATTAAAAAATTATTACAATTTGATCCTGGTGCAAAGAGTGATAATTGTATTAGGGGTTTCTCTTACAAAGCATCACGGATAAAGAAATCATTTTTCAAGCCTTCTAAACAACTAATTATATTTCTCAACACTTATATTCACCTATAACTCTCTCGTTGAATTTTTAATATATCCTGTGATTGCTCAACTGTTAGGAAGTATGTA